GGGCAACAGAGTAAGACCTTGTCTCAAAAAAAAAAATGAACAGACTGTACTACAAGAAGAATGTCTCCAGGACTATGCTGAATCTTCATGATGATAGCCTTCTATATGGTAGTGTTTTCTGGGGGAAATGTGAACACAGTGGCCCTTGGCAGCTTATCTAATTTGGTGGGAAATTAACTTATGAATAATGAGAGAACAAGTTTTCCCACCCTACCTATTTTATTAAAGAACACTTTACTTAGCTAGAATCTTTTTTAAAAAGAGAAATAAAATGAGAAACGAAGGGATCCGAGACCCAAGTCTGCAGTTAAAAATTGTAGTTTCTAGGCTGTTGTCTCTGCCCTGGAATTCCTTTTGAGATTCCATTTGACTCTATGCTGCTCAGTTTCTCACTTATTAAAGGATTATTTGACTGCCACTGTGGTGTTAAAATCTTCATATGGAAAAGTATTTTATGATCCAGAGTTCAAAATTCCAGTGTTGGGGCTGGGAGCAGTGGCTCACGCCTATAGTCCCAGCACTTTGGGAGGCTGAGGCAGGCAGATCACTTAAGGTTAGGAGTATGAGACCAGCCTGGCCAACATGACAAAACCTTGTCTCTACTAAAAACACAAAAAAATTAGCTGGATATGGTGCATGTGCCTATACTCCCAGCAGCTCAGGAGGCCGAGGCACAAGAATCTTTCGAACCCAGGAGGCAAAGGTTGTAGTGAGCTGAGATCGCACCACTGCATTCCAGCCTGAGCAACACAGAGAGATTCCATCTAAAAAAAATTAAATCCCAGGCCGGGCGCAGTGGCTCAAGCCTGTAATCCCAGCACTTTGGGAGGCCGAGGTGGGTGGATCACGAGTTCAAGAGATCGAGACCATCCTGGTCAACATGGTGAAACCCCATTTCTACTAAAAATACAAAAAATTAGCTGGCCATGGCGGCGCGTGCCTGTAATCCCAGCTACTCAGGAGGCTGAGGCAGGAGAATTGCCTGAACCCAGGAGGCAGAGGTTGCGGTGAGCCGAGATCGCGCCATTGCACTCCAGCCTGGGTAACAAGAGTGAAACTCCGTCTCAAAAAAAAAAAAAAATTAAATCCCAATGTTGGACCCATAAACATTTCAATCACTTCGATTTTATTTATTTTTGATTTATTTGATGTTTATTTTTGAGACAGAATCTCACTCTGTCGCCCAGGCTGGAGTACAGTGGCACAGTCTTGGCTCACTGCAACCTCCACCTCCTGTGTTCAAGTGCTTCTCCTGCCTCAGTCTCCTAAGTAGCTGGGATTACAGGCAGATGCCACCACACCTAGCTAATTTTTGCATTTTTAGTAGAGATGGGATTTCACCATATTGGTCAGGCTGGTCTTGAACTCCTGGCCTCGGGTGATCCACCTGCTTTGGCCTCTCAAAGTGCTGGGATTACAGGTGTGAGCCACTGCACCCGTCCCCATTTCAATTACTTTAATTAAAAAGTTGATTTCAAGTGGCAGTAATATTCCAGGAGCCTTGTGATTTTCATTTGCAATCCACATTATGTGAAAATTCAGAAAGGCTCTTAGGTTTCTAGGTTGGGAGAAAGTGGACTTCGGTAACTCCGCTCTTTGGGAGATTGTTTCTAGTTCATGTCAGCTTAACCTTAGGGGGCTCATGAAAGAAAACAGGTTGCTTTAGGATCTTTAGAGTCAGTCAAGTCATTACAGCCTGAAGGTAAGACCATCTTTCAGTAGTCATTCTCAGCTCACTACATTAATACACCAACAGTCTGGGCCTTTCTTGCTTCCTCCTATTTCAAATGTCAGCATTGCAGAGTGTTTGCCCATGTTTATTCCATGGGCTTAGCATATTGGGTATTTTTTAGTCCCTACTTACCTGGCATATGGCCTAAATGCCATTACTCTTGGCCTCACCTGGGTGTACAAGTTGCTCATAAACTAAATCAAGATGTAAACAACAGCTGGATTCTTATTTTAAAGAAGTCACATAATTCCAGGGGGAAGTCAGCTTTCAGCCCTTTGCCTCACATTGGATTTTGTCTGTAGTTCCCCTATATAGTGCCAGAAAACTGCATGATTATTAGGGTTTGAGTCAGATACACAGATACACAGGCAGGGCAGTCACATGCCCCCAGTATACAATGACCTCATTGAGCAACTCGTTTCCAGGATGTTGGGAAATTGACTTGCTGGAGGACCTTGTCCTTGTAATGTGGGGATGTCAGTGATTTATATGATTTAGCAGTAAATTCTGATCTGAATTTCAAAACAATTGGGCAGTTGCTCAAGGGGACATCTGAACTGCAGATCATCTACTTGCTACAGATGGCGCAGTCCACAGAGCAGCTTGATCCCCAAACCAATTCATGTGTTAAAATTAGATTTCCTTCTATCTCAAAGAAAGTCATCTTGGGACATTTTCAAAGGCACTAAGGCTTTCATTGCCCTCAGTGAGTACAACAGGAGAGTTTTGCAGGCCATTTTCATGTAGCCACCTGTGCTTCTCAGCTGTATCTTTCTATACGTACCTGGCTGTCATTCTCACTTTGTCTCACCCAAGTTCTGGCTTCTGGGTCTAGTGAGCTTGTCTGAATCAAGGGGCTAACATTTCAGTCCCAGTTTGGCCTTGGGACAAAGCAATCATCTGCATAATTGGAAGACATTATTAATAGGTATATCAGAGTAACACTTTTTTTTTCTGGGTCACTTAAGGACAGTTCCCATGGGTCCCTGGGAAACAGTTTATTCTGCTGGAGGACTATTTTCACAGAGCTTAATGAGATAGTCACACAGAGCCTAACAAAAGCTTTAAAGTCATTCACTGTTTGTTCTATTCTGTGTAGATGCACTTCACTAAGCAAATACAATGTAGACTTTGAACATCTGGACTGGCTGAAAAAAATCAAGTGGTTGTAATCCCAGCACTTTGGGAGGCCGAGGCGGGTGGATCACGAGGTCGAGAGATCGAGACCATCCTGGTCAACATGGTGAAACCCCATCTCTACTAAAAATACAAAAAACTAGCTGGGCGTGGTGGCGCGTGCCTGTAATCCCAGCTACTTAGGAGGCTGAGGCAGGAGAATGCCTGAGCCCAGGAGGCGGAGGTTGCGGTGAGCCGAGACCACGCCATTGCACTCCAGCCTGGGTAACAAGAGCGAAACTCCGTCTCAAAAAAAAAAAAAAAAAAAAAAAATCAAGTGGTAACAATTCACTTTACCAAGAATTTTGAACTCCCCTAGTGCATTTAATTACCTATTCGTTGAATGAAATTTATTTGAAACAATATGTCAACTGTTTTGTTTTTGTAATGGACCAGGATCATGCTCTTTAAGTAGATATAGAACTTCAGATATTAAAATGTAGAATTCAGAAACATTCATTGTCATCTCATTTCAATTCCTCTTTCACAAAAGAAAAGTTAGGTTTTCAGTTGAAGGGATTCTTGAGGGAAGCATTTAGTTCTTTCTAGTTTGTCAGACATCATAGTCTAACAATATTTTCTTCTTTCCTCATCCCCTATACTAACTTTCCAATAAGAACACCTGTAAGCTAAAGTGGCTCCATAATTCTCAAATAACTTCTTAGAAGTACCCATTTGTAAGAGATACTGTCCTGCAATTCAGAAATTTTATTATGCCCTGCCTTCTTCATTCATTTTCTCCTCATAGTTATTTTTACATTAGTCTGTCTGACAGAAGATAACTGAAGGTGCAAGGCATTTATTTTGGTGGGGAGTCTGGAAGCTGAGGTGGTGGGTGTCTAGCCCCTCCTGAGGAGCCTGTAAGCCTGGAAAGTCAAGCCCAAGCTTTGGGTTTAAATTCCAGCCTGCTATTAACTAGCCATGTGACTTTGGACCATGCTTTAAGCCTGTTTGATCCTGGGTAAACTGAGGATAATACGCAACATGTAGATCAGAGGTATGTAGAGGGCTTAAATTCAACACCATGTTTGTGTAGAGGGCTAAAACTCAACACAATGGAACAGGAGTATTCAACAAATCATTGTTACTGTTAGTATTATTGTCTGGGAAGACAACATTATTATTACTGTGTTTTTGTTGTTGTTGTTGTTGTTTTGAGATGGAGTCTTGCTCTGTCGCCCAGGCTGGAGTGCAGTGGTGTGATCTTGGTTGGCTCACTGCAACCTCCGCCTCCCAGATTCAAGTGATTCTCCTGCCTCAGCCTCCCAAGTAGCTGGGACTACAGGCGAGTGCTATTATGTCCAGCTAATTTTTTGTATTTTTAATAGAGATGAAGTTTCACAGTGTTAACCAGAATGATAACCTGGCTAGGATGATCTGACCTCATGCCACCCACCTTGGCCTCCCGAAGTGCTAGGATTACAGGTGTGAACCACCGTGCCCAGCGACAACATTATTCTTGAGTTCAGGTCATTCTCTTGCCACATTGACACTTGTGTTTTTCTCTAGCTCTTAGTAGACTTCCTATCCCTTTGGTTAAAAAATGTAGTTGTGGCCGGGCGCGGTGGCTCAAGCCTGTAATCCCAGCACTTTGGGAGGCCGAGGCGGGTGGATCACGAGGTCAAGAGATCGAGACCATCCTCGTCAACATGGTGAAACCCCACCTCTACTAAAAATACAAAAAATTAGCTGGCCATGGTGGTGCGTGCCTGTAATCCCAGCTACTCAGGAGGCTGAGGCAGGAGAATTGCCTGAACCCAGGAGGCGGAGGTTGTGGTGAGCCGAGATCGCGCCATTGCACTCCAGCCTGGGTAACAAGAGCGAAACTCTGTCTCAAAAAAAAAAAAAAATGTAGTTGTTTCATTTCTGTGCCTACTTATCCTGTTAACCAAGGTAAAACTAGGTATGTATGTATATATGAAGGTAACAATTTCTAATATGGGCATCAGTTTTAAATTTAAATTCAGAAATTCTCTACAAAAGAAAACTTCATGCTTAGGCTAATTTATACTGGGAAAAGTCTAGGTTAAGCCATACATTTTTACTGAATGTTAACATTTTTATAACTTTAATTTCCTTAATATAAACCTAGATAATGTTTAATTTAGATAAAGTACACATCATTTTGGATGAGATGGTGTTAAATGGCTGCATTGTGGAAACTAACAGGGCGAGAATTCTTGCCCCTCTACTAATTCTTGATAAGATGTCAGAAAGCTGAAAGGAAGTCTCTTTCAGACAACATGGATTTATCAGAAATGTGAGTACCATGGAATATATCTCACCATTTGTAACCCAGAAGAAAGTATGCCAGTTTTCTGTCAGCCAATGAAGTTTTAAAATTTAAACAGACATTTTGAGTAATGTTTTCTGAAGGCTTTTTCTTTTCTTGTTTTTTTTTTGAGATGGAGTATAGCTCTGTCGCCTGGTACATTCTTGGCTTACTGCAATCTCTGCTTCCTGGGTTCAAAGCAGTTCTCCTGCCTCAGCCTCCCAAGTAGCTGGGATTACAAGCATGTGCCACCACACCCAGCTAATTTTTGTATTTTTAGTAGAGATGGGGTTTCTCCATGTTGGCCAGGCTGTTCTCAGAACTGACCACAAGAGATCCACCCGCCTTGGCCTCCCAAGGTGCTAGGATTGCAGGCATCAGTCACTGCACCCGACTTCTGAGGCCTTACTCCTTTAAAAGGCTTAGTAAAATTTAGTTTTTAAGAGGTTTCATTATTACTATTATTTTATTATTTATTTATTTTTTGAGACCTAGTCTCGCTCTTATCATCAGGCTGGAGTGCAGTGCCTGATCTCAGCTCTCTGAAACCTCCAACTCCCTGGTTCAAGTGACTCTCCTGCCTCAGCCTCCCAAGTAGCTGGGATTATAAATGTGCACCACCATGCCCTGCTAATTTTTGTGTTTTTAGTAGAGACAGGGTTTCACCATGTTGGCCAGGATGGTCTTGACCTCTTGACCTTGTGATCTGCCCCTTCCAGCCTCCCAAAGTGCTGGGATTACAGAGTCGCCCAGGCTGGAGTGCAATGGCATGGTCTCAGCTCACTGCAACCTCTGCCTTCAAGCTATTCTCCTGCCTCAGCCTCCCAAGTAGCTGGGACTACAGTTGCATGCCACCATACCCAGCTAATTTTTGTATTTTAGTAGAGACTCGGTTTCACCATGATGGCCAGGTTGTTCTTGAACTCTTGACCTCAAGTGATCTACCCGCGTCAGCCTCCCAAAGTGCTGGGATTATAGGCGTAAGGTGATTTTTTTTTTTTTTTTGAGAGAGAAGTGGGTCTTCCTGTGTAAGTGGCTAGTCACAAGCATGATCACGTTGCACTACAACCTTGAACCTCCTGGGCCTGGCCTTAAAAGCTTTGTAATGTGGGCCTGGTACAGTGGCTCACACCTGTAACCCCTTCATTTTCGGAGACTGAGGAAGGAGGATCTCATGAGGCCAGAAATTCAAGACCCACCTGGGCAACATAGACTTCATCTCTACAAAAGATACAAAAATTATCTGGGTGTGGTGGCACAGATCTGTAGTCTCAACTACTTGGGAGTCTGAGGCAGAAGGATTGCTTGAACCCAGGAGTTCAAGTCTGCAATGAGCTATGATTATGTCACTGCATTACAGCCTGGGTGACAGAGCAAGACCTTGTCTCAAAAACAAAAAAGTCCAAGTGTGGTGGCTCAGGCCTGTAATCTCAACATTCTGGGGGGCCAAGGCAGGCGGATTGCTTGAGCCCATTAGTTCAAGACCAGCCTGGGCAACACAGCAAGAACATATCTCTACAAAAAATAAATAGCCAGGTGCAGTGGCTCATGCCTATAATCCTAGCCCTTTGGGACGCCAAGGCAGGCGGGTCACTTGAGGTCAGGAATTTGAACTCAACGTGACCAACATGGTGAAATTTTTAGTAGAGACCAACTCATCTCTACTAAAAATACAAAAAAAAATCAGCCGAGAGTGGTGGCAAGTGCCTCTAATCTCAGCTACTCAGGAGGCTGAGGCAGGAGAATTCCTTGAACCCGGGACGCAGAGGTTGCAGTGAGTTGAGATGGTGTCACTGCACTCCAGCCTCAGTGACAGAGCAAGACGCTGTCTCTAGAAATAATTAATTAATTAAAAAGTTAGCTGTGGTGGTAACTGACTAACTTTTGGGGTTGGGGGGGCGGTGTTTGAGGCTGTAGTGAACTATGATCACAACACTGCACTCAAACCTGGGTAACGGAGTGAAGCCCTGCCTTAAAATAAATCAAAAAGATTTTTGTAATGTACCTAACGAAGTTTGCAGAGTTCAATTTTATTTGCCTTTTTTTTTTTTAAAAAAGCCTTTGATACTCATTTTAAGGGCACTTAGTAATTACAATGCTATTATGTAATTAACTCTATAGAGAACATTACTTTCAAATAATGGGAGGTCAGACATTAAGGAGCCCCAGAGAGCCCCTACAGCTATTCTTTTTTGTTTGTTTTTTGGAGACAGCATCTCCCTCTGCCTCAGGCCAGAATACAGTGGTATGAACATGCCTCACTGCAGCCTCTACCTCCTGGGCTCAGGTGATTCTCCCACCTCAGCCTCCCAAGTAACTGGGGCCACAGTCACACACCTCCCCCACCCAGTTAATTTTTGTATTTTTTTGCAGAGACAGGGTTTTGCCACGTTGTCCAGACTGGTTTCGAACTCCTGCGCCGTGATCCATATGCCTCTACCTCCCAAAGTGTTGGATTTACAGACCTGAGCCACACTGCACCCAGCCTTTTTATGCCACATTTTAAAGGGTTTGCTTATTAATATACTTACTGTTAATAAAATTTAATTCAAAGGGTTTTTTTGTTTGTTTTTGGGTTTTTTTGTTTTTTTGAGACGAAGTCTTGCTCTTGTCTCCTAAGCGGGAGTGCAGTGCTGCAATTTCGGCCCACTGCAACCTCTGCCTCCTGGGTTCAAGCAATTCTCCTGCCTCAGCCTCCTGACTAGTTGGTTACAGGTGCCTGCCACCATTCCTGGCCAATTTCAAAGTTTAAAAGTAGAATGCAGCCGGGCACGATGGCTTACACCTATAATCTCTACACTTTGGGAGGCAAGGCAGGCAAATCATTTGAACTCAGGAGTTCAAGACCAGATTGGCCAGCATGGTGAGACCCTATCTCTGCTAAAAATACAAAAAATTAGCTGGGCATGGTGGCACACACCTATAATACCGGCTACTCAGGAAGCTGCAGTAGGGGAATCACTTAAACCTGGGAGGCAGAGGTTGCAGTGAGCCGAGATCGAGATAGTGCCACTGTACTCCAGCCTGGGCAAGAGAACGAGACTCTGTCTCAAAAAAATAAAAAATTAAAAAATAGTAGAATCAAGAAAACGTCTCTGTATAAGCAGGCATGAAATGAATCCTTCTCTTCTTTCCTTTTGCTCCTTTAACCCTTTCTCCTGCAATGTCTTGAAGTAAATTACTGTCATTACAGAAGAGCAATGCACTGCATCCCCCCAAAACCTTTCTGTATGCTTTTGCTACCCAGGTAATAGAAGAATATACAGAACTGTCTTAGGCGAATGTACAGTAGTCCCTCCCTTATCCACTGTTTCACATTCTGTGGTGTTACCCATGGTCAACTGAGGTCCCAAAATATTAAATGGAAAATTCCAGAAATAAACAATGTACAAGTTTTAAACTGCATGCCATTCTGAGCAGTGTGATGAAATCTGGCACCATCCCACTTCATCCTGCTGTCCTGCTCTGTCTTGCCTGGGAGGTGAATCATCCCTTTGTCTAGCATATACATGCTGTGTATACACTACTCACTTGACAGTCATTTAGTAACTGTCTTGGTTACCAGATGGACAGATCATGAGAAGGGTGAGTACAGTACAATAAGCTCTTGAGAGAAACAGACCACATTCACATGTATATGTATTTTTAACGCAGGGGTCTTGCTCTGTTGCCCAGGCTGCATTGCAGTGGCATGATTATAGCTCACTGCAGTCTCAACCCCTGGCCTGGGCTCAAGTGATCCTCCCACCTCAGCTTCCCAGGTAGCTGGGACCGCAGGTATATGCCACCCCACTCAGCTGAGTTTTTTATTTTTTGTAGAGATGAGCTCTCCATTTGTTGCCCAGGCTGATCTTGAATTCCTAGGCTCAAGCGATTCTCCTTACCTTGGCCTTTGAAAGTTGTGGGATTACAGGCATGAGCTATCACACCTGGCCATCTTTTGTTTTTTAAGAGGTGCGGTCTCTGTTACCCAGGCTGGATTTGAACTCCTGGGCTCAAGCCATTCTCCTGTCTCAGCCTTCCAAGTAGGTGAAGCTATAGGTGCACACCACCATGCCCAGCTTTCACATAGCTTTCTTACAGTATATTGTGATAATTGTTCTATTGTTATTAATCTTACTGTGTCTAATTTATAAACCTTATCATAGATATATGTAATAGGAAAAAACATTCTTTCTCTCTCTCCCTATATAGTAGTGGTAGGTCAGGTGCAATGAAAAAAGTAGAAATCTTTTTCTAAATATAGAGACAGGGTCTCACTATGTTGCCCAGGCTGGTCTCAAACTCCTGGGCTCAAGCAATCATCCCACCTCAGCCTCCCAAAGTGCAAGGATTATAGGTGTGAGCTACCCTGCCTGGCCAAAATCTATTTTTGGTGTATTAAGATATTGTGCCAGCCTATGGAATGATTCTAGAGTTCGTTCTTCTTTGACACTCCGGCCTCTAAAAGAGGGCATGAATGCACTTATTTTCTGAGTTGGAGTGCAGTGGCATGATCTCAGCTCACTGCAACCTCCGTCTCTTGAGTTCAAGCAATTCTCCTGCCTCAGTCCCCCGAGTCGCTGGGATTGCAAGCATGTACCACCACACCAGACTAATTTTTGTATTTTTAGTGAGACGGGGTTTCACCATGTTGGCCAGGCTGGTCTCAAAACACTGACCTCAGGTAATCTGCCCGCCTTGGCCTCCCAAAGTGCTGCGATTATAGGTGTGAGCCACCACGCCTGGCCAAATGCACATTTCAGAGACATCATCCAACACTGTTCTGTTTGGTTTGTCTGTGTATTGTGTGGGGTAGGCAGTGGAGGCTTTGCTTTTTTATCCTGTTCTAAAAATCTACTTGCAATATCAAGGTTTATATCTATAAAAACGCAGACCAACAGTCAATAGTAGACTCCAAACCTGAGTTGTTTTTGGACTCGTTCAGGAAGGCAGAGGGAAGGCTTCTGACCTGTGGGAACAAGGAGTGGGTTGTGTGTACAGATTCACCTTTGTATCAGGTAGCCAAGGTCTGGGGAAAGCCCAGTCTAGACCAAAGTGCTATGGAGGTCTTTCTGAGACACATTAGTTGGGAAACACTGTCCTAGTTGGTAGATAACTTAATCAGTAGCACATTCGCGTAACTGCTGAAACTGGTACACCAGAAGTAGCTAGGGAGTGAAC